CCCCCCCCCCCCCCCCCGATTGTTCGGCACAACCTCATCTCTCTTGGTCATTACATTGCATCTATGTGTGTTTTCCATTCTCCTTATATGTCCTTCCTCACATATAAGGTCTATCTACTGTCTTGTTTGCATTTCTAACTAAGTAATCGTCTTGACAAGGTGTTACTATACTAATTATCCCATTTATAATTCTTTTTATAATTCTCAATCAAAAAATGAGACATAAAAGAATTTAAATTTATTTTTTTAAAAATTCTTGGGGTACGTCGAATCGGGTCAGGTCGGGTCGGGTTTTCGTTTAAAAGTCGGGTTTCGGGTTTAAAAGTCGGCTCAAGTTCAGATATATTACTATCTGCCCCGAATCCGACCCGTTGTCATACTTAGTGTCAAGTCCCCATCAAATTTGTCGTAACACATGGTCTAAGTGTATTATAAATTCTATTTTAAAAATCAATGAATATCTAGTGATAGCAGAATACGATGACACTCTGATACTATTATCATTTTGGACATTTTCAATGATTCATTTGTAAAATTGACGAAAATAGCATAAGAACATAAAAATTTGAATAGTTGATTGTTGGAGTACTACTCCTTAGTAGATTTCACAACCTTCCACAGTCGTTAACCGAACAAACTGAAAATCACGGAAGAGGGATTCGTCCCTCCAATTACATCGCCCCATTTCTGCTTCGCTGCAGGCCCGATAACCGGTGATTCGACTCTCCGACGATGCCGGCGATCGTTCTCAAAGCTTCGAAATCGGGGACGGAGATTTCGAGTGCACAGAGAAGCTCGAATGTCTGGCTTTTCTCGCTGCTGCTTACACTCCAGTACGGTGCTCAGCCGCTCATCTCCAAACGATTCGTCCGGTTCGAATTCCGCCCTTTTTAAACTCTAATTTGGCTTTGTTTGGTTCGATCTAACTAGGTTTTGTTAACATTCTTATTATTTGCATCTGTACATTTGTCATCTCCCCCTTTATCAAATCTTTGATGCCCTTGTTTTAGCTTCATCTTCATAAGCTATTGTGATGATAGAATTCATATTTTGAAAGGTCGTTCAGGATGGTGAAGAAATAGAGGGACATAAAGTGGCAAAGTAAGAAAAGAAAATAAGAGAAATAGGTGAAAAAAAGAGTAAAAATGGAGAGGAAATATGTTGTTGGGTAGCCTACAATCTTACGTTGAAGAAAAAAGAAATAGAAACAAAAATAAATATGTTCAACCCAACCCATTAGTATGGAGTTTTTCGGGAGGTGCCCAAAAATAAATCAGTAAGGACTTGACCAAAGCAGACAATATCTGCCGGGTTTTTTGTTATTCTAAAAGTACACTATTACCATCACAACATTTTTACACTATAATGATGAGAAAACTGAAAAAGTAACATAGTGATTTGAGGTTTTTTTTGTTAGTCTAAAAGTACATTGTTACAATTACAACATCTTTACACTATAATAAGGAGAAAAAGTAACACGGTGAGTTAAGTGCATCCATCTTCATTTCTCATCACTTGGGCATGGAAATGAGGAGAATCAGGACCCTTTCCAAGTCCTTGCTATTATTTCCTTTTTACCAAACTAAGAAAACATAGAATAATATGATTGAATCCAATCAATTAGATAATTTAAGACACGTTTCTTATAAACAAATTGGTTACTCTTTAATCTTCCAATGCGATTATGTGAGTTCTTAACATGTTAGATAGTGACAATATAACCACTTGACCATCTAATATTTGCTCTTCAGGAGGGAAGTGGTTGTAACATCATCCGTTTTAGCATGTGAAGCATTCAAGGTAATGCCTTCCTACATCTGAATTTTGATTTCTTAGTCTCCTCCATTCCTGTTGTTCTTCAGTGTATTTTCCCCGTGTTAATGGATAATAAGCTCTAATGCAATGCAACCAAATAATGAGAGTAATGTAGATTGTAGATTTATTTACTACATATCTACATTACACAAACATTTGATCACATTGCTCTATGTCTTACCAAACTATGGCTATATTTATAGTGGCACTGACATGCATCCTTCTAGGTTACTTTTGCTCTTATTCTCATATCAAAAGAAGGAAGTCTGAAGAAATTGTTGAGGCATTGGACTTTGGTTGGCTCTTTGACAGCATCAGGATTACCGGCTACTATATATGCACTCCAAAATAGCTTATTGCAGATTTCATACAAAAATCTTGATTCACTCACTTTTTCAATTTTGAACCAAACGAAGCTGTTTTTCACCGCTTTCTTTGCCTTTGTAATATTAAGGTATGCACCTGTCTTTTCATATTCTCCTTTTCTGCATCTGTGTTATGTTGCTACAAAAATGAACGTGCCATATAACCTAATAACCAATAATATTCAAATTCTCAACCTCCTTTTTGAAATCCTTTTTTTATTAAAGTGTGTGTATTATTATTTAGGTTAAGATCTTGTGGTCAAGTAGCATTACTGTAGCATTGACTCTTTGTGTTTTAGTAGGTTGAGAAAGTATGTATAGATAGATATTACATTGTAATAGATTTAATAGTATCAAAACAAAGAGTTCCACATGCTTGAATTGTTGAGTAATAAACTACCCCCTCTGTCCCTAAGTGATCTGCCCACTTTCTTACTTCGTCATCCCAAAATGGTCTCTTGTTTTCTTTTAAGAAAGCATAATGTGGTTGAGTGGTTCATACATACTACAGAGTACATAGTATTTCTCTCTAATTAAATATCAACCACATAATTTTCATTTTATTTTTCTCTGTGCCAGCCAAAGTAGGCTTCTTATTTGGAAACAAAGTGATTATTACTTATATTGATTTGACTTTTAACTTGCAACTTCATGTTTTCTAAAGACTATACAATGCTTAAATTGGAGATAATGGGCCCAAACACAAGAGGAATAGGAAATTTAAACCTATTGAGGATAGAAACTACACTTTAACAATGCTTATTGGAAAATAAGTTTAACTGATCTTACTTTGATCATATAACTGGCCTTTTCTGTGTCCAATTGGAGTTCTTGGCACATATTTATTTATTTGAAAGAAATGGGGTGTCTGGAAATCAGTCCTGAGTAGGATTTCTTGCATGGTAAGATGTCCATATTTGAATTTTATAAGATTTGGCACAAAATTTTAGGCATTTGTTTGGAGCCACAAATTTTGTGTGAAGTGGGAAGTCACTTATTTAGAGCCACACATTCTTAATTCAAAAAGGATTGAAAACCTTGTTGTGGGACAACCAAGAAAGACAAGTGAGAACCTTATTTTGGAATAGAGAGATCCAGATTGGGTAGCTTTTTGTTTTATCTTCCAATTTTTATTATAAGCCTTACAAGACATTTCGGCCTGCCATTACTCATTTCACTTCAAAATAATCACATTGGCATCACTCACTGTATTCTTTTTCTATATTTCCAAAGGCAGAAACAATCAATTCAACAAATTGGGGCACTTCTATTGTTGATCATTGCAGCTGTCCTTCTAAGTGTTGGTGAAGGATCCAGCAAATCACCGAATAGCAATAAAAATGACCCTAACGAGATCTTATTTTCTGGAATTGTTGCCGTCTTGGTAGCTTCTGTACTCTCGGGTTTGGCTTCAGCATTGTGCCAATGGGCCTCACAGGCAAGCAAATCTTTTCTTGAGCTGATAATTTTTATGACTTGATAGTTGTTACCAGGGGTGGTAATTTCAGGATGGGTTTGGTTTTTTCCCGGTTTTTAGTTTATTTTTGTCGTAGTTTGGTTTGGTTTGGTGTTGGATTTTTTTGTTTATATTTGAGATTTTATGTACAGTGGTTTAAATCGGTTTTGGTTTGATTTGGATTAATATGGTTTGAGAATAACATCATCATACTTACATACTAAACTTGAATCACGAATGGTTCGGGTTTATTCTGTTTGGTCGGTCAAAAATCAAACCAAAATGCCAACCACTACGTGTTTGCTTCGCTCCTTTTCTATTTGCTTTTATTCACTGCTGCAGGTAAAGAAACACAGTTCTTACTTGATGACTATGGAGATGTCCATGATTGGGAGTCTTTGCTTGGTGGCCAGCCTATTTAAGTCTCCTGATGGAGAAGTTATCAGGCAGCATGGATTCTTTTATGGTTGGACTCCACTCACTTTGGTAATTAATTAGATTTTGTTCTAATACCAATTTTTTATGTCCCGTGTTCTTAAAAGCATTAGACGTTAGGCAGGTGAGAGAATGGGGCTTAGGTTCTATTTGGTAGCCTTGCATATACTGTGTCGGTATCCATATGAGGCCTGTTCTGCACATTATTCCGTATTAGAACAAACAACCTTTGACTTACTTTTTAGATAAAAAGGAAGTTAGCAAATGCTTTTCCTTTAAGAAAAATCAGCAGATTCTGCCATTTCACGACCAAAAGATATTTACCAAATGGGCCCAAGTGACTTAACATACTTATTTTGGATGAAATGAATGTTACCATTTGATTTTTCATTTAAAAAATATGTAAGTTCAGCAATTTCAGCAAAATAAATCTGACCAAACAGGTCCTTAACGCTCGCCTCTCTGGACTAAGGCTGGGTATATGCGGGGTTAAGGTGGACAAAACGAAGCACAAGAATGGCTGTAGCCAAGGAAAACGTAGCCTCTAGGCAAGGATTTTTTTTAGAACATAAGGCACAAGTTTGAGTTTATTTGTGCAGTCCGAAAGGTTTCAAGGTGAGTTTGTCTTTAATGTTTTATTTTCAGATCCCCGTAATATCAAATGCTGCTGGTGGAATCCTTGTTGGCCTTATTACCTCCTATGCTGGCGGAGTAAGAAAGGTACACACATGTCCCTTTCTCTAAAATGACTGAATTGGTTGAAGACTCGAAGTTGTTCAAATTGAGGGCTAAATAAACTAAATTCTCTGAAAACTAATGTTTTTCAAAACAAGTAAAAGGAAATGATATCTACATCTACAAATAAGGGTGAAATGAACTTCATTTCATTTCAGCCACTTTGAAAGGTGAAAAACAAATGCTTGGCAACACCTTACTAAATAAGTCAAAACTACTTGTTCAGCTTATTTACTTGTAAGCAGAATAAGCAGAATGCACCATCAAAAGGCAAATTGTAGAAAATGTGCACTAAACGCTGCATTATTTGTGATTTTATGGTGTGTGGTTTTAGTTTTTTCATTGTTTTTAAATGTTAAAATGCAGGGATTTGTGACAGTCTCTGCACTTCTTGTGACTGCCACACTACAATTCATCTTCGATGGAAAGCCTCCTTCCTTGTACTGCCTTATTGCGCTTCCCCTGGTTATTGCTAGCTTAACTATATACCAAAAATACCCATACCGTGTTAGGAAGAAGGAATCCTGATGATACAACAGTCTCCAAGGGTAGCACGGTCATTTTCTTTGCTTTCATCAATTTTGTAGTATTGTTTGAACGGAGGATTCCTTCTGCCCCATTTTATTGTGCCTATTATGGCTGGCTCGGCAGATATTCTTAACGTGAAAATTGTGTGGGTATATTTATGTAGAGAATAGAAAAACATAATGAACCACATAATAGTTTTGTTTTTTTCTTTTGTGTGTGTTCATTTTTTTTTCAATTATGTGGTTTTTTTCTTTTCAAGGAAAAATATGAATATCAATCACATAATTTAGATTTTTTATAGAGATGTTTAAGTAAATCGAGAACTTTACATTGAGACATCACTTACTTTTTCTCAAGTTCTATACCTTTTGATTTGTCTGTGGCTAATATTATTTCCATTTCCTCTAGTGAATATATGAAGATTGATATGAAAAACTAGCTCGAAAATGGTAGAGAACAAAATCATAAAAATACCTTTGAATTTATGAGTTTGATCCCTTCTCCAGATGTGGAGAAGGTGTGTTTGTAGCACAAGGGTTGGCTCTTACGATCCACTTTTCCCTCTTAAGAAAGTAGGTTTTGAGTTCTTTAAGTGGCTGATTTTTCATTTTACCTAACTCTAGTGTCTACCTTACTTACTATTCTGACAGTTTAGACCTTACGTTTTAGTTGGGTTAGCCCGATCCCTATCACGTGGATTCCAAACCCCAAATGTTAGAATGGGTTGGATAGCCCATGCCTGATTAATTAGTGATGATATTAAAGAGCAAGGTAAATTAGGTCTAACTCGACTACTAATTTAGGTTGTCCTCAATGTACCATCACAATTTTCTTAATTTTTTGTGTGACCTTAACTGAAAGAGACCATTACAAGTTTCTTGATTTCTTGTGTGACGTTAACGAAAAGAAGAGAAAACTTAAAATTATAATTAAAATAGAAGTTGTTTATTGAAGGGTCTCTTTACACAACTACCTTTTTCAACTCAAAATGCCCCATCTTGGTAAGGGTCCCCAACAAAGTGCTGGAGAAGAAAGAATTCTTGTTATGGAGTTGTGGAAGGGCATTAAGCTTGGTTTGAATGATTTGTACCACTGCCTATTTACTTGCATTTGATAGTGTGTAAAGACACAAATACACATAAAACATGTTATTTAGTTACGACAAATTATACCATCAGGACCTGTTTCGTATATGGAATTGACGGAATTGAAAGTTGAAATTCTATATAATTGAATTGGACGAAATTAAATTCTCCAATTCAATTCATTTTTCACACTATTAATTCCAAATCTACATATTTTTCTACAACCAAACATCAGAATTGAGATTATTGTCCCCCATTCCAATTCCATAGTTTGAATCATGTGTACCAAATGAAGCCTCAGACTATGATTTCTTTCTTAAACATCCAGCGAATATTAAGAAAACCCCCTAAATAGGAGCAAAACATATGATACATCCTCAAAATAGGAATTCAAACATAAACCCCGACTTAAATTAATAAAATATTAAAAAAATTATAAAAGCACCACCAACTCCATTATTGGCCCTGTTCGGCTGTTCCTAAACATTTTCTCAATCAGCCGCTCCTCCCCCCTTCTTCAATACTCCGTATATTATAATCAGCCATCAGCCGCCGCCGAATCGCCGCGCCACCGCCGCTGCCATGCACCCCCACCCATCTCAGACTCGTCAGCGCTTGCTCAATGCCGATCTCCATTTTCTCCCCCATCCTCCTTGATTCCATTACAATCAACATCACCGCCACGCACCCCCACCCCTCTTAGACTCATGGTCGCACTCATGCTACGCCACCACACCTTCATCTCTCTCATTAAAGCCTTGGTTTCCAAAGTGTGTAGATTCGCTTTTGATCTTTAATTTAAAATTTTTTTAACTTAATTTTTGTTTGGATGCTTTGGGATGATGCTTGGTGTTGGAAAAATGGTAGTAAACCACTGATAGGGACGGTTGGTCATCCACCCCCCCCCCCATAAAGGTGGTCGTGAGATGAGTGATGGTCGTCGGCAGTAGTGCAGGGTAGTGTGTGGGTTTGACATTATGTATTAAATTGGCATTGTAAATTTGCACATATGACATTTTATATGGGCATTTGTGGTATTATGCACTGCCATATGTGATATTATTCGATGTCATATATGGCATTATATGTTGTTATGTTTGGCATTATGCCTTTTTTGACACTACAAAGACTATTAATCAGGCACTATGATCGACGATCACAGTGCAAAGTGTGATGATGGTGTTAGCGGCTTGAAACGACTACTCGATTTTCATGTGGCGGTGGAGGAAGCTCCAAGCCGACAACCTGCAATGACCGGTGCAACACGATTTACCATATTTCCATGTTTTAGCAATGGTATCAGCAACACCACCAATTGAAATGATGATTTATTCGTCATTGTGCAATACAAAACGGATCAGTATGCGAGATTTCATATTATACTTGTGTGTGTGCTTTATGAATAGTAAGTTATTTACTCCCTCCGTCCGAAAAAAATCTTCCTGTTTCTCCTTTTTCTCCGTCCGAAAAAAATCTTCCCATTTCAATTTTTAATTTCAATCCTTCCAAAAATACCCTTATCATTCAATTTTATTTACCCTCTCAAACTTCCTTCCTAGATCTACCCGTCTCGTCCCCCCACCCTTTTCTCTCTTCTCAATGGTTTTTCTTTCTTTCTTCTTCTCTTTCTCCTCCTCCTCTTCTTCTTCTTCTTTCTCTTTGTCTCTTCCTCTTCCACGTACATCTCATCTCTACTTTCTCCCCCAATCCCCCTCTTCTTCTCTTCTTTCTCCCTCTCTTTTTTCCCTTCTTTTTCTCTCCCTTCTTATATCTCTTCCATCTTCTAGATCTGAGCATGGCGGCGGCGATTGTGGAGGTGACGGCGACGGTGATAGTGAGTCTAGATCTACATTTCTTCGTCTTTTTCTTCTTCATCTTCTTTTAGATCTGCACCACGGTGGAGGTGGAGGTGGGGCTGGCGCCGATGGTGAGGCTGCCGGCAGTGGAGTGGCGGTGAATCGGCGATGGTGAGGAGAAATGAGTGTTGGTGTGACAGGCGGCGAAGGAGGTACTAGCGGCGATGGTTGGGACGGTGATTGTCGGGCTGGTCAGGAGGGGAAGGAGAGGGAGGGCATTTTAGGGAAACTACACCAATAGTCAACCCTTCAAAAAAATGAAGAAAAGTCCAAATGGAAAGTTTTTTCCCGGACGGAGGGAGTATAATTTATGTTGGCGATGATAGTGACAATCAACGATAGCAATGGTTAGTTTTAATAGCGGTGCAGTAGTGCGGCGGCCGGTGGGGCAGAGCAGGGCAGCGGTATGGAAGCGACGGCAAGAGGTGGCAACAGAGGCAAGAGGCTTCGACGGTGGTTGCGGGAGGTTAAGGCATTGGAAGTGAGCCGTTGTTGTTGGAGGTGAGCCGTTGTTGCTGGATTTTATTTAATTTTTGAAGTTGCCGGAGATTGGGACTTGGAGACAGAGCGCGTGGGCCTACATTTAGTTTTGCAAAGTGTTAATTACGGCTGTTAAAAAATTTGGAGCCCTATTAATTAATTACTCCTATTTAGAGGAGTTTAAGTTTCAACTCTTATTTTGGGGATATGACATATGTTTTACTCCTACTTTAGTCCTTTTCCCGCGAATATTATGTAACTTGTATACTCCCTCCGTCCTAAAACTTTCTTCCCAGAGCACTATTCGAACTTCACGGAAATTTATATTTATTTGTGTTTTTTCATGGCCTATATGATAAAATAAAATATTCTTGTCACCACTTGTTTTGTTGAACTTTTGATATAGTTTTTAAATATGTATGTTTTATTTTTTATTTCTATACCAATATTTAAATAAAATAGATTGAAAAAATTTGGGATTTTTGTTCGTTTTGTAAACCGGGAAGAAAGATATAAGACGGAGGGAGTATATGATTATGTGAATGCTTTAATTTTTTTTTAAAAAAAAGACAGTCGAGTATATTTTACAATGCGGTATTTGTATGGATCTTTGTAGTTTGGCATATTCCGGTAACAATTGTACGGAGTATTATTTTTAGGTAACAAAGGTAATATTTAGGTTATAATTTGCTCAATTTCAAACTCCGTAGTATTTTTGTCTAAGATCATCTTCTCTTCACCTAATCTAAATAATTTCAATCTAATTAAAATAAGATGTGATCTGATCCGATTCCAAAAAAAAGTAACAAATAATAAAAATAAGCTATAGAGAACCTGACCATAATCACCTATACTTAATAGTCTCTTGATCTAATATTTTCTAAAGGTCCGTTTAATACACGGAATTGATAGAATTGAAATTGAATTGGGAGTTGAAATTCTATGAAATTAATTTAGATGGAATTAAATTCTCTAATTCCAATGCATTTTTGACAACTATCAATTCCAAATCCACATATTTTTGTGCTACCAAACGACAAAATTGAAATTGTTGTCTCCAATTCTAATCCCATAATTTAAATTTCGTATACCAAACAGAACCTGAATGAAAGTGAACAAGACATTCCATTTACAACCATTCAAGAATCAAGACCGAATGAGATAAATGATAAAAGCTCGCCAATGGGTCAAAATGTCAGGTCAAAATATGAGTTTGGGGGGCTATAGTTATTAATTTCATCTTTGGATTCAAGATCATATTTTTATTACAATTACATTATACATAAATAGCCATAATTCATTATGTTCCAAAAATTCTTGTATCTTTAATGATTTGTTAATTTTGGAGAAGAGTGTTGAATCATTTCTTGTGCCTAAAATAGATAATAGGAGTAATTAGAATCAATAAATCAAAAAACTTTAAGGGATTAAAATCAAGACAAATGCTGAAAGGCCAAATTGGGCTACAGC